GCCCTGCGCAAGAAGCACGCGGACAGCACAGCTGAGCTGGGCGAGCAGATCGACAACCTGCAACGCGTGAAGCAGAAGCTGGAGAAGGAGAAGAGTGAGATGAAGATGGAGATTGATGACTTGGCCAGTAACATAGAGTCTGTGTCTAAAGCCAAGGTACACAATTATTTTTATTAGGAATTTGATAGCAATATGGTATTTTTTCTTCAAACTTATATGATTTAATTTTTATCAGGTTGTATTATAAATGATTTCTCCAAATCTCATGTGTAAAATTGTAGGCACATGTGCAGTCCCAAGATGTCAACTGCATCTTCAGGACATATTTTACTGCTAAAAGAAGGCAGGATCAAGGCATTTACTAATTTTTTTTAATGTGCAATTGATATCTAGGCAAATCTGGAGAAGATGTGCCGCACACTGGAAGATCAGCTGAGTGAATATAAAACAAAGGAGGAGCAGAATCAGCGCATGATTAGTGATCTTAGTGCTCAAAGAGCTCGTCTGCAGACAGAATCTGGTACAACCCTTCCATCTGTAATTTGGAAATGGGAGGAATCTATAAATTGCTCTCTTGGATATTAAAATGTCGTCTCAATTATAAACTTTTTCAGGTGAATTTGGACGCCAGGTGGAAGAAAAAGATGCTTTAATTTCTCAGCTGTCTAGAGGGAAACAGGCTTTCACCCAGCAGATTGAAGAACTGAAGCGGCAGCTAGAAGAAGAGATAAAGGTGAAGATACTCACGTACATATGAAATAAATATTTGACATATTATTGGTTTTTGTGAAGTCTTCAAGGCTTCGAAAGGTGATCCAATTAAAAGTTGAAACCATACCCTAGACCCTTGCAGTGCAGGACTCCCATGTTTTTATGAGGCAGTCAGTTAACTACGATCAACTTTGGGATGTATATCAGTGTATATGTTCCAGTAACAGAAACTTCCCAGGAAACATATACTTCTTATTGCCATATTTTTGCCCCCAGGCCAAGAACGCCCTGGCCCACGCCCTGCAGTCCGCTCGCCACGACTGTGACTTGCTCCGGGAACAATATGAGGAGGAGCAGGAGGCCAAGGGGGAGCTGCAGCGAGCCCTGTCCAAGGCCAACAGCGAAGTGGCCCAGTGGAGAACCAAATACGAGACGGACGCGATTCAGCGCACGGAGGAGCTTGAGGAGGCCAAGTACGTGGGGAAGCAGGATGGCAAATGACTGGAGAAAATGGAGGATAGTCCACAGAAATTAGAATGTCTGAGAGTGGGCTAAGACAAGAATGGGATGAAGGCAAGGATACAGGTTTGTAAAAAAGGAGAGAGAGGAAGGCAGAGAAAAAGTGTAGATAGGAAGTGAAAATATAGGCTTTAGGACTAGAAGTGCTAAGAGAGGCCTAATAGGTGATAGGACACAGCAAAATATAAATCTTTATATAGCTGTGAATAGTGCTCAGTTGAAAACCCTTAAAGTGATCAGCTAACCTCTCATGACAGAATAGACCTGACGCCATTCCAAGCTCTAACGTGCAACTCTGCTTCTCTCCTCCCAGGAAGAAACTGGCCCAGCGCCTGCAGGATGCAGAGGAACATGTTGAGGCTGTTAATGCCAAATGTGCCTCCCTGGAAAAGACAAAGCAGAGGCTGCAGAATGAAGTGGAGGATCTTATGATAGATGTGGAGAGATCCAATGCTGCTTGTGCTGCTCTGGATAAGAAGCAGAAGAACTTTGACAAGGTCTTTTGGCCTCCAGCACCAGCACTCCTGGCCAGAGCATGGCCCCGTGATGGCCACAGCCCTACTCACACCCCATTTCTCTTCAGATCCTGGCAGAATGGAAGCAGAAGTATGAGGAAACGCAGGCTGAGCTGGAGGCCTCGCAGAAGGAGTCGCGCTCTCTCAGCACGGAGCTGTTCAAGATGAAGAATGCCTATGAGGAGTCCTTGGACCACCTGGAAACAATGAAGCGGGAGAACAAGAACTTGCAGCGTAAGTCCCTCTGCTCCTCCCTGGTCTTTCTCACTATCAGCCATCACCTCCATTGGCCATGGGTCTGTGCCCGCAGGTCTGCAGAGCTGCCTGTCACCTTGGTGGGACAGGGTCCTTCCCATTCTTCTCCGTGCCTGAACATGCCATTGATCTTTGTTCCCACAGAGGAGATTTCCGACCTCACGGAGCAGATAGCTGAGCAAGGAAAAGCAATTCATGAGCTGGAGAAAGTCAAGAAGCAGATTGAGCAGGAGAAATCTGAAATTCAGGCTGCTCTGGAGGAAGCTGAGGTACATGACCACTGGTGTCTGCAGTAAAGATATGATGAAATAGTGCTGAAAAGGCCTGGGTTGTCCTCTCTTCTGGCTGGGGTGTGCAGACGGCTGAGATATCACAAAATATTTTGCAATTCTGTAAAAGGAAGCAGTAGTTTTATTGGTGTTATCAATGTGTGTGTCCACTTCTCCAGGCCTCCCTGGAACATGAGGAGGGGAAGATCCTGCGCCTGCAGCTTGAGCTCAACCAGGTGAAGGCTGAGATTGACAGGAAGATAGCAGAGAAAGATGAGGAGATTGACCAGATGAAGAGAAACCACCTGCGAGTCGTGGAGTCATTGCAGAGCAGCTTGGATGCTGAGATCAGGAGCAGGAATGAAGCCCTGAGGCTGAAGAAGAAGATGGAGGGAGACCTGAATGAAATGGAGATCCAGCTGAGCCATGCCAACCGTGTGGCTGCAGAGGCACAGAAGAACCTGAGAAATACTCAGGGAGTGCTCAAGGTCTGCTCAGCAAAGCAACAGAAAAGAGAAAAATTATATCACTGACATTTTTGTCACTCAAGTGCACACTTACTCTTGGCGATTTCTTTTCTCTATCTTTGCAGGACACACAGATCCATCTGGATGATGCTCTCAGGACACAGGATGACCTGAAGGAGCAGGTGGCCATGGTGGAGCGCAGAGCAAACCTGCTGCAGGCTGAAATTGAGGAGCTCCGGGCAGCCCTGGAGCAGACGGAGCGGTCGAGGAAATTGGCTGAGCAGGAGCTTCTGGATGCCACTGAACGTGTGCAGCTCCTCCACACCCAGGTCAGGGCAGGGAGCAAGGAGCTGTGTTGACACTGAGCAAACACAGAGGGCTGGAATTTACCAGAGAACCAGCAGCACTAGAAAGGTCTCTGCTGCTGTCCCCAAGGAAAGGTGTGCTTTGCATCCGTTTCCCAAGCCTATGCCTGACATTTTGTAAACAACCATTGTAAAAATTATTCAGTGTCAGATTTGGAAGCTGGAAGGTGAATGTCTTTGTTCTGGTAGAGGGTTCTTATGGCGGGTTGTAGAATTCAACTCTTGCCATGTCCTTCCCATTGCACAGAACACCAGCCTGATCAATACCAAGAAGAAGCTGGAAACGGACATTGCCCAGATCCAGGGTGAAATGGAGGATACCATCCAGGAAGCCCGCAATGCTGAGGAGAAGGCCAAGAAGGCCATCACTGATGTGAGTTGGGCACTCCTGGCATTGCTGTGGGTGAATGTACTCTCCCCAAAATATCTCCAGTCCTAAAATGGCTTTGACCTTTTGCTCTGATCAGGCGGCCATGATGGCAGAAGAGCTGAAGAAGGAGCAGGACACCAGTGCCCACCTGGAGAGGATGAAGAAGAACCTGGACCAGACGGTGAAGGACCTGCAGCTTCGTCTGGATGAGGCTGAGCAGTTGGCACTGAAGGGAGGGAAGAAGCAGATCCAGAAGCTGGAGGCCAGGGTGTGTAGGGCTGGGGCTGTGCCTGAGTGAGCGTGTCCTTGGAGAGACATTGCCAGGGAAGCTGCAGGGATGGGCTTGTCCTTGCAGGTGCGGGAGCTGGAAGGGGAGGTTGATGCTGAGCAGAAGCGCAGCGCTGAAGCCGTGAAGGGCGTGCGCAAGTACGAGCGGAGGGTGAAGGAACTCACCTACCAGGTAAGGCAGGAACTCTGCTCTCACAGGGCTTTCCCACAGTGAGTCACATCTTGTACACACCGTCCCCAAGGGAATTGTTAATGTCATGTGATGCAGAACCAAGAACTGAATCTCTTTCCTGTTTGTCAAACACTCTAGTCAGAGGAAGACAGGAAGAATATTCTCAGGCTGCAGGATCTGGTGGACAAGCTGCAAATGAAAGTGAAATCCTACAAGAGACAATCTGAGGAGGCCGTAAGTATCTCTCTGAGTACTTGGTAAGAACCCCTGTCCCAGAGAGTAGTTTGGCCACTGAGGAGACAGATATCCGAAATTTAGTAGATGCCAATGGAGATGCTCACCAATTTCAAAGTCTTTCAAGGGGATACATGAGAATGACCCCAAGATCTCATCAATCCCACTGTGAGACTTCGTACAAGCAGTTGTGGGTGGAGTTTGGAGGTTTGTGACTTTGCCCACGCCAAGGCCCAGGAGGAATGAAAACCCCAAACTTCTCCCTACTGACTCTTTCTCCCTCCCAGGAGCAGCTGTCCAATGTCAACCTCTCCAAGTTCCGCAAGATCCAGCACGAGCTGGAGGAAGCCGAGGAGCGGGCTGACATTGCAGAGTCACAGGTCAACAAGCTCCGAGCCAAGAGCCGGGAGTTTCATAGGAGGATAGAAGAGGAAGAGTGAGAATGTCACAAGGCACAAAAGTGACCTGAGGGCTGCACAAAATGTGAATCTCTAGGTCACTTTCCTTCTGCCATGAGCCTTTGTACCCACCTCAGTGTCTAGTGAATAAAGACTGTAGTAGATTCCTCTGCATGCACACTATGGCCAGTGGTTTTGTTCTTCTTGGGGTTTGTTTTCCTCTAGAAATTGCATTGCACAAGAAGTTTCCTTACTTTTTCTCTCTGTGACAAGGGAGAAACTGGTGCCAGTGCTGGATTGAGGATCTGCAATCTCAGAGGCTGGCCATTGCTGTGGAGGCTCCTGAAAATCCAGCCTGTGCTCTCTCCTGTCTCCAGCAGCTCTTTGTCCAGCTCCTGCCTTCACATCCTCCTGATGCTTCTCCCATTGTTGTTTCAGCACAGCCTTTTTCCCATGGGAGAGTCAAGAGAGAGTCCTTTTGCTTTTTCCTTTTCCTACTCTTGTTTGTGATGCTGATTCTCACAAACCCGAAACACCATTTTTGGTTCTGTCAACAGTCTCAACACTGAAGGTAGGTTGAAACTGACCACTCTGCTATTTGTTTTTTACACTCATAACAGCAATATCCCAAGGGCTCTCACCTTACCTGGCTCCCAAGTGCAGCCTCACCAGCACACCAGCTTTTGCTGGAAGTCCAGCCTGATTCCAGTGTCACTGACCAGCAGTGATGAGCAGAATCTGTTGGTGTTGTCTGTGGAGAGAAATGGGAGATGGTTCTTTAGGAGTAGACCTCAGCTTTCGATCCCAGACCTTCAGAAAGCCACCCAAGGCCTTGCAGAGATGTCAGACTAGTACTCCCTTCTCAAGATACTGCACAACTTTTCCCAAGGGCTACGTAGCAGACTCCCAACCTTCTTCTTCCCTCCTCATTCCCTGCAGTCTTTCTCCTTGCCTCACCGTGTGCATTGTTCTGTCACTACAGCCAGGGCCTCATGGCATGAACCTTTGCCTGCCCAAGCCCACCTAGAAGCCAGCTGCTCCTCTTGGGAGCAGTCCCACCTGGGCATATCTCCAAAGCTTCAAGTGGGTCTGGGTAGAGTCCAGATGGCACAAAAAATCTGTGAGTATCCCTGTTGGCTGCAATGCCTGGTACAAGCATTAACTTCACAGACACAGGGATGGGTGCACACCCTCAGGCAGGACCTGCCCGGGGCACAGCTGGGCACTGCTGATGGCACTGAGGGCTGGCCCTGCCCCCCAGCAAGCTCACAGCTCCCTCTGTCCTCTCCTGTGCTCCAAGGCCACACCAAACTGCCCCTCAGCCTCCACAAGAGCCATGGCTGGAGGAGGGGACAAGGCTGAAAGGAGCTTTGGAGGAGGCCCATGGCAGGAGGATCAGCCCCTCACGTGTCTCCTTTCGTGCTCAATGTCAAAAGCCCAAAATAGCCCCACTCTCCTGAGACTCCTGTGTGGGGTCGTGCCTGTTTGTGGGGATGATCTGCTTCCACTAATAGCGCCTGAAGACATTCCTGGGCGGGTAGGCTGCCTTCTGGGTGGCAGGGCAACGTGCTGCCCTGGAGGAGTTGGACACGTGTGCTGTGGCCCAAGGCAGCAGCTGCTATTCTTACCCCAGAGAGACTCACTGCAGCCCAGCTCCACGGCGAGCTGAAAGGTTAAATGTCAGAATGGGGCCTGAGTGTGCTCTCCCTGCCCAGAGCCTGAATCCAGAGTGCTCCCCTTTGGAGCCCCTGCAATGGCCCTGTGCCAGCCCAGTGCCATGGCCATTCCCTGCTGGGATGTGCTGTCCTGTGGGCAACACAGCAGCTGCCCAGGTACTTCCAGCAGTCAGTCAGGGCTCCTTGGGGTGTGTGGGGCCCTCTCATTTTAACCAGCAAATGGAAAAGAGAGGAAGGGGTGTAACTCTGGAAGTGGAGTTGCCATCCTGGAGTCCCTGTCTGGTGAGGATGAAGGCAGAGGCAGGGTTTGTTCTGAGGTCCAGCAGTGCTGCCGGGGCCATCCATGTCCCTTTGCTCAGGCTGTGCTTTCCCATCCCTCATTTAGGGAAGGCTCTAGGGCTGTACAGCAGAGGTCCCTCAGGAGCCCCAGGAGTGTCAGAGCTGCAGGAGAAGCCCTGACAGGGCTGGTGGCTCTGACATGATGGTTGTGGAGACCCAGCCCTGCCTGCACCTTGACCCCCCTGGCCCTCTGGAGAGCTCAGGAAAGCCGTGTCCCAGGCAGGTACAGTCACTGTGGGGCCTCAGGCAAAGGACACTGAGCCCAGGACATCAGCGGGATGGTGGCTGTGCCTTCCCCCTCAGGCTGTTGCTCTGACAGCACAGGTGGCATCAGCTTTCTCCTCAGCTTGGGCCTTGTCACCTGAGACCAAGTTCCTTTAGGATCCTTGGCAGGAAGCCCACAGCATTATTCCTGGTGAGGGGAGCTGGGGGTGCCGCTCCACGGCCCCATCAGGCTCCTGTCAGTCTCAGGGAGCTCCCGGGGCAGCAGCTGAGCCGGCCCTCTGCTCCAGGCCCCAGGGCCAGGGGATGGCAGCCTGGAGCCATCCAGGGCACCTGCTCCGGGCCCTGCTCCTCTGCACACCAGCAAGGTGATCTCCCTTCTCTGGGCTGGCCTTGGTCTGTAAAGGATCACAGTAACGTGACCTATGCTGAGGGAACAGTTTATGAGTTCAAAAAGGCTTTGGGAAATTCGTCAGTTAAAATTCCTTCATGAGCTGTAAAGCACTTAGACACTGCATTCTGCTTAGGGATTCCATAAATACAAATTACTGGAGGTAGGAGAGCTGTGTAGTAGTGCTATTCTATGCTGATGATCCTTCCTGAGCATCACTTTCAAAGACAGGAAGTTGGGTACACGAACCTTTGATCTCGCAAGGACATTTTATTTTGGGTTATGATAGAGTTTCCTACAGGGGTTAATACCATGCTCCTTCATTATTTCCTTTTCCTTCCCCTTCCTTCCTGCTCTCATAGTTACTTGCTGCTTCAATTACCTCTTCCTGTCTGCCAGGTTGCCCAACCCACTCACCTGCTCTGTAATAAGAGCTCCTCAGCTGCTTGGCAGGGGATGGAAAGGGCATTCCAAGCATCACCTCCTTGGATGGGATCTACTGCCCAGACCTCTTCCATTGATGTGTCTGTGGAAACAGAAGGAGTGTGAATTGCAGCACATGAGTGGCCTGCTCTTGAAACTACCCATCCTCTAATCCCAGATTATGGATTTACTTGCCTCTCATGTTCAGTTATTCAGTTCATTTGCCTCTCATGTTCAGCTTAAACTCACTCCAAGACTTCCAAGAATACCGCTCTGTGGGAACCTACTTGGAAACAAATTTATAATTAAAGTTCCTCCTAGGACAGGTGCATTGACTTTAGTTGACATATAGTGGAGATAAATCACATTAAGATCTACAGAAATTAATTTCTGACCAGAGCAGAAGGGACAGCAAGGCCACCACAGCCCCTCTATGGCCAGTATGTGACACTCATCTTATCTTCACAGGTTCTCACACTTAGACACAGAAATTAGGAAAATTTCTTCAGACTTGCCACGGTAAAGAATGGGTGGCCTATTCTTTACCTGCAGCTTTTAAGTCTTACCAGTTATGGTCCTCAGTAGTTTTTCCTCGGAAATCATGTATTGCTTCTAGCAACTCCTTCAGCCTATTCCTTCAGCCATATTTATTAGAAATAATAAATTTGTTCAATGGCAAATTTCCTAACCAGATGTCACATCAAAATTACAGACTGAACATGTTCTGCTCATAACACTGAGCATGCTTCAACATTGAAAGCATGAACCTTGATGGAGCAACACTGAATTGAAAACCAACCTTTTAATATGGAAAATGTGCTCTTACCCTGTCCAGGGCTCAGTGTCCAGTCATATCTGAGCAGAAGTACAGGGGTGAGCGGTGCTGCTGCAGAGCAGTGCTCTGACATTTCTGCTTGCCTTCTGCTAACATTCCTGGGAGCTCTCATCTTACACAGAGAGCAGCAGAAAAGCTGCTGCAGCAGGGGCTGAGCATTCCCTGTCAGACTGACCATGACATGCTGCAGAGAAAACTGACTTCTCTTAGGCAGGCCCTACTTTAATGATAGCAGGGCAGACAGCAGCACTTGCAAACCCAAAATCCTGCAAGGATTTAAGATCCCCTTTTTTTCTTTTTTTAGCAGTGGGGGAAAATAATGAGCAAGTAATTCAGACTCCTTCCTACACCGTTGTTCTTTCTAGAAGACTTGTAAGTATAGTTCTAAAGTACATGACTTTTGTATCTGCCACTGTCACTATCTCAGTCTCTGCTGTTTTGAGGAGATGGTGATGCGTTTTTTACCTCAAAAGTGCTGTATGTAAATGCCCTGATTCTAGAATTCAAACGTTGCCACTTATTTTGGAGGCATAGTATCCCACTATGTAAGAATTACAGAGTCTGTCAAGAAAAAAACATTAGACCAGAAAGTGATATTCTAACAGCTAGGTCTCACATTGCCATAAATGTTTTTTAATGTAGAATCAAGGCACTGAACAAAATACTATTTTTTCCCCTCTCTTAGTAGACTATAAGGACACTGGTACTAAATACTCATTTCCCAATAGAAGTGAATTCAGGAAATCTATATTGAAATTATATCCTTTTTTTTTTGAAAGATTCCTGCAAATCCTAGCTGATAACTAAGGGGAGGACTTGGCAATGACTGCCATTCAGTATTCTTGACACAATGCCAAACAGTTTAGCAGACACAGGGAAAATAAAAGAGATGAAGGTGGTGTGTTAAGTATCCTAACGTGACTGCAGAAATAAAAACAGGAAAAGAAATCAGAACAATTGTTCCTCCTGCTGCCCTGTACTCTCCACAATGTGATAGTGTCATGAGGACTCCATTTGGGTTGGAAAAGATCTCTAAAATCATTATGTTTCACCATTACCCCAGCACTGCCAAGTCTACCACTAAACCATATCCCCACACATCTTTTAAATCTCTCCAGGGATGGACAGTCCACTCCCACTCTGGGCAGCCTGTTCCAGGGCTTGACAACCCTTTCAGAGAAGAAGGAGGTGGACTTCCTAAACATGATATCACTTCACTCCCTGGAGGAGAACTCAGCAAAGCCAACCACCTGCCCTCTCCACTGCACCCTAAGCTCTGCCCAGTTGTAAAGATAATTCTTTTATCAGGAAGGAAACACCACAGTAATTATATTTCACTCTGCAACAGAATTGTTTAAGTTACAAGAGAAAATAAACAATCATCCCAAATAAAATGAAATTGAGAATGTTTTAATAATCTTGCTAATGGAGGGAATGAAATTAAGTTTTACAAGGAGGAAGAACATAGTGAAAGTCCTGGTGTCTTACCCAGATAGTAGCTCATTCCTAATTAGTGATTTCTACAACCACTCACTGGCAGTGAGTACTAGAACCCAAAATAACATCTGCCCATACTGTATGGAGCAGCTGTAGTCTCCTTTGGGTGTTACATGAATTGCTTGAGCAGTCTTAGCCCCTTCTTTATTTGCAGTTGGTATTTCTGTCCTGAAAGGACAGCTGCTGAGAAATGAGGAGATACTTGGTGAAGGGCCTGAAGCAAGAAATTTGAGGAACCCGAATTCTCTGAACAGCATGGACATGGAGAAATTTTAACACAGGACTTCAGTGCTGGACATGGCAAGAGCTAGAAAGAACTCAGCTTCCCAGTTTTCATCTTTCCTGAGTGCTGTCTGTTCAGTATGAGTCTGCTGTTCAACCAAAAAAGGCAAACAGTGCTATGGTCAGTATACGTTCCTCAGAACTGAATTACTCATACTGGCAGCAACCAATACCTCCCTCTAAGTGAGGTGCCTCTCAAAACTCATGAACTCTCAAGTTTGTGAAAAATTGAAGGCTGGTTTTCAAAAAATTCCCCAAAAGCTGATTCACAGAGCAATATCCTCCAGTCCCTGAGGCTCAGCTCTTGCCCACTGAGAAATTCCAAGGCATTTGAAGTGAAAACTTCACTGAACTCAGAAGGAACTTTTAACAGGTGTAACCCTTGAACATTTATACACACACTCTTGTGTCTGCGTTTGTGCATGTGTGAATTCATTTAAGCACTCTGAGGCAAGTATAGTGTTAATGTTGCTATTTGGGATCTATAATTAAGTCACTGTTGCAATTATAGTAAATCCATTTGAATCACTTTTTGAATGTCAAATTATCCAATGATTAAGTCCTGCTAAAACCCTTACACACAAACTTTGACCAGGTCTCGTATTATGATTAGATCCAACTGCACCTAGACTCTGTCAGGAGTTTGGAAGTCAAGGGGCCCTCTGTGAACCTCATAACTCAACAGGATGATTTTTCTTATGCTTTTTACCCTTACCCTTTGCATCCCCAGTTGTTATGCAAATCATTCTAAAGGAATTCTTAGTAGATTCTTCTTGATCTTTGTAGCAAGTAATAAAGCAAACCTTAACATCAAACTTTATTGTGCTTTTGCAAATTTATACTGAACCCTCTTTCACTAATGCCTTTCATGGTGATACTTCAAGCAACCTTAACTCATTTGCAACATTTGATTCCTCAACAGTCAGCTCAGGAATCTATTCAAGAGCTCCATATCAAAGTAGAGTCTCCCATTACTTGGGATCAGGCTCCCAGCTCACTTTATGTAAAATAATTTCAGCTATTGAGAGTGTCATATACAGAAAACTCAGCTATAAAAGAATTTTACTTCCTGCTTTTTAGAAAATACCACTGAAAACTGCCTCCCAACATTATTTTCTAGTTTTTGACATATTTTCGCTGTTCCTCCCAATGCATATGTTCTTAAAGCATCATAGGCGTTGTCATCACCATTACATGGCTGAAAAGTTGTGGTATAAACATACCAAGGAAACTACCATGGGTCAAGGAGCACATCACTGAGAAAGGCAGCAATAGAACCATGCAAGTTCTCTAAGTGCCTTGAGTAGTCTAGATTCTCTCCTTAACACTCTTGACAAATTATTTATAGATGTATTCACGTAGTCAGTAAGATATAAAAATGTTCTAATTATATCATTCAAATCAAGTGACAATTATGCCCTTAGTTTGACAGACAATGCTTCTCCAAAAAAGGTTTGCCAGAAATGTTTTGACCGAAGAAAGGGGGACCATCTGCATCATCTTCAGACGAGATACTATAAAATCTGCCAGAGACAAGTCTACCCTGTCTCCGCAGAAGGCTTCCAGGTAAGTGCATGCATTTCATGAGCCTGAAGAAAGAGAAAAATGTCCTTGCGATATCCTGTTTCATTTCTTCTGTCTCTAGCAACTATTTCCATGAGGGAGTGCCCATGTGAACAAAAGTTTTCAGTGTAATTTTGATGCATGCCTGTATTTTCAATCTACAGTATTTTATGGAATTGTGTTCAGCAATAAGAAACAACTGCCATTCCTATTTTACAGGGCTGGCCATATTCCAGGATACAAGCTGTTACCCAAAGGTAATACACTGAATAATCCATTCCTAATCTATTTTCTAGGATAGGACCTTTAAAGAGCTGCACAATTTCTCTTCATAAATCCTTTTATATTCCAGCTGAACTTGCTTAGGCTAGATAGTTGGAAATAGGGAGGATCTAAAAAATGAAGTAATTTTACATTTTTAACAGAAAAGGTAATCCTTTCAGCAAGAAAGTACTCTCTTGAAGACTCATTGCTCATAATTAAGAACCAGAACAGAGAGTGATTTTTCTATGACTGTAGATTATTTTATGTGAAAAACTCAAACCTTGTCAGAATTCAGGGTGACTTACCAAATTGTACTCAATATTAAGAAGTTCTATTTACTGTTACAAGATCTACATGTTGTAGAAGTCTAAGGCTTACTCCTGGGTAAGAGAAAAGGATATTTTTATCTTCAAATCGAAGTGGATTTAAATGGTTTCTTCCTAAGAGTTAATTTTGGAGACTAACTAGGAATTTATTTGCTAAACATCAAAGAGCTTTCTTATTGGTATTAATTGTATTATTCTTCTTGATGACCAGTAACATTTTATTCTTCACAAGATACATCTGCTGACAAGCTTTCATTAGAGGACAGACATGGCCTCTGGAGACGCTGAGATGGCTGTTTTTGGGGAGGCGGCTCCTTATCTCCGAAAATCAGAAAAGGAGAGAATTGCAGCTCAGAACAAACCTTTTGATGCCAAGTCATCAGTCTTTGTGGCTCATCCCAAAGAATCCTTTGTGAAAGGGACAATCCAGAGCAGGGAACTGGGCAAAGTCACTGTCAAGACTGAAGGGGGAGAGGTGAGTCAAAAACAAAGATGAAAGACAATATTTGATTCCCACTTTGAGCTTTTAGGTGATACATGTGGATCTTTTGTTTCCTTGGCAGACCCTGACTGTGAAGGAAGACCAAGTCTTCTCCATGAACCCTCCCAAGTATGACAAAATCGAGGACATGGCCATGATGACCCACCTCCACGAACCCGCCGTGCTGTACAACCTCAAAGAGCGTTACGCAGCCTGGATGATCTACGTAAGTGGCAGCAGCAGCTTCCTCTGGGCAGCCTCAGGAGCTGCTGGGCCAGGCTCAGGGGAAGCCTGAGTGCTGTGTCCCTTCCTCACAGACCTACTCGGGTCTCTTCTGCGTCACCGTCAACCCCTACAAGTGGCTGCCGGTGTATAACCCCGAGGTGGTGTTGGCCTACCGAGGCAAGAAGCGCCAGGAGGCCCCTCCACACATCTTCTCCATCTCTGACAACGCCTATCAGTCCATGCTGACTGGTGAGTACCTGGTTTTCTTTGAGCTGCTCTTGAAATTGTCTATCTGTAGAGGGAAATTCAGGGTATTCTCTGGAAATACCATGCCATGCTCAAAAAAATTTGTGTGTGTGAAATTAATAGAGGATTAATTCACTTAACTCCAATGGTCTGTGAGAGCTGAGTGTCAGTGTTCTCATTAGAATCTCTAAAGACCTGGACATAACCTAGTGGGTGCGAATCCACTGGAAAGAAATAACCTATTTTGTGGGTTAGACCTTATGACTATAATGGAATTTATATTTATGGATGGACTTATCCATCTTAATCACTAAATTAGTGTCAGACAGAGAGTACAGGTTACAGTTAAATGATACATACCCTATAAATGATGTGCATAATATCGATTTAAATTTTCAAGCATCAGTGCTGACAAATAAAACAGAATGCTTTACCTTAAAGAGGTATGTAAACCTCACCTGGGGCATTTAATATGCAAATGAATTTTATTACATAGAGGATGGCCATGTGATCTAAATTACATGCAGCTTTTAATGATCTCTGGAGCTTGTGCACTGATCTGTAGCTGCATGTATAAATCAATTGCATTGTATAGTGAAAAGTAAGCTTCATAAAACAATATCAAAGAAAAAATAAAGCTTTTGGGATTGAAATTGAGTGACTTCAAAAAATTTCTTTCTACTTTTCCCTCTTCTTTTCGCCCTTCATTTTCTCTTCCTTATATATGCATTGAAATTAAAGGTGTGCAGAATTTTAGAACTTGTCCTCCTGTTCTTTTCTTAGACTCTGGGAAATACATTCAGAATAGAAAAATAAAAAATGAGTCTTGTTGATATATAATCTAAAGAAGGCATAATTTCTGTATATAAAGGGATTAAAAAAATAGAGGTGAAAAAGGATGAAAGATGTTGGTCAGATGTTTCTGTAATTAGTGAGGCCTCCAAATTTTGATAAGATTATTTTAGAGACTTTTAGCTTCAGAAGAATTTACATACAAAACAATTATAACCTCAATATTTTCATAAGCTGTACTTGCCGATTAAAAGAAAAATAAATAGCTTGATGGAAAGACAATGTCAGGACAGGCATAAGATTACTGAAGTTTCTCTGCAGTGATTCCTTTATAGAACCAGTTGCTAAGAGCTGCAGTACCACTGACCAGAATCAAAAGTACCTACTAGAATTCCTTGGGCACTTTTTTCTATTTTCTGTTCCTCACTCCTCTGGAAGCTTCACTTCTTATTTTTCTCCTAGTTCTTGAATTTCTTATCTCTGTTTCTTACCTCTGTCTCTTCACAGATCGGGAGAACCAGTCCATCCTGATCACGTACGTACACCCCCTGCGCGGGTCCCTGCGGGGCTGCCCGGTGCCAGGGCCCCTCCTGCCTCACCACGCACCCTCTGCTTCTCTCTTGGCTTGGGCAGCGGAGAATCCGGGGCCGGGAAGACTGTGAACACCAAGCGTGTCATCCAGTACTTTGCAACAATTGCAGCCAGTGGAGAGAAGAAGAAGGAGGAACATGCATCAGGCAAAATGCAGGTAAATTAGTAGATACATGTTGGGATCAATGCTTTCCTTGGTTCTTGACATGATTTTTGGAAAGGATAACTAGCAATAATTATCACCCTGCAGGGAACGCTTGAGGATCAAATCATCAGTGCCAACCCACTGCTGGAGGCCTTTGGAAACGCCAAGACCGTGAGGAACGACAACTCCTCACGCTTTGTGAGTTGTTGCTTGGGACAACTGTCAACACCAATTTGAATATTCTTGCTATCCAGGTTGATAAAATAAGTCTCAATTGACTTTCCTGCTGCTTTCAGGGTAAATTCATCAGAATCCATTTTGGTGCCACAGGCAAACTGGCTTCTGCTGACATTGAAACATGTAAGACCCTTCTGGCTCGATCTCCCTTCCCTCCTGCCTTCCCCACTTCTTGTGCTTGACTGTGTCCTACTTTCCAGATCTTCTGGAGAAGTCCAGAGTCACTTTCCAGCTCAAGGCGGAAAGGAGCTACCACATCTTTTATCAGATCATGTCCAACAAGAAGCCAGAGCTAATTGGTAGGAAAGATCACCAACTTTTTTTGAAGGAAGATCACTGAGCAATAGTTATCTGTGTTATTGTGCTATCTGGAAACTAAATTAAGCTTGTTTTTCTCCTTCTGCTGCTTTCAGACATGCTCCTCATTACTACCAACCCTTATGATTTCCACTTTGTGAGTCAAGGTGAGATCACAGTTCCCAGCATTGATGACCAGGAGGAGCTGATGGCCACAGATGTGAGTAACTTTACCAAATTGCCATCTGGTAGACTTGAGCCTGGTATATATACATTGTGTTTCTTTTCCCAGAGTGCCATTGACATCCTGGGCTTCAGTGCTGATGAGAAAACAGCCATCTACAAGCTGACAGGGGCTGTCATGCACTATGGGAACTTGAAGTTCAAGCAGAAACAACGAGAGGAGCAGGCAGAGCCTGATGGCACAGAAGGTATCAGCAGAGAACAAGCTTTCCAAAGGAGATAGTCTTTATTACATAAGGACTTACACAGATTTCAGGCTTTAAATGTGTAAACTAAGAATAACAGTAGTTACTCCATGACTAGATGCCAGTTGAGGCATTTGTCTCATTCAATGATATCTGTACTTTTTCCTCTGTAACTACTATATAAGAGGTCCAATGTACACCAACAGGAAGCCAGGAGACTTTCGTGTCAATTGCTGTAACATTGCTAATCATACTTAAGCTGAAATACACCTTGCAATCTCTGCTGTAGTATGGAGCAGTGAAATGGCTCAGGCCTAACAAGACAGAAGGCTGTGCTCCTCTTCACACTCACCTACTGGAGAGAACTCTGACATGAGATGTGTACTTCATTAATCATTGCACAGCTGGACGGACAGTCCATACCTCCATCTTTCTGAGTGAAAAATCCTCCTCCTATATGACTAGAAAGTTTGAAGTTCCATACTGTCATCTGAAAGATGATAAAGACAATGAGCTCTCTTGAAGAATGTTTGCAGAAATTGAAGCTCAGAAAGAGTTATGGACTCTGAGTTCTGAACACAAAAAGAGAAACTAGCTTTTTAGCTTTGACAGATACTGCTGTGCAACCTTGTGGACAGCACAATTGGGACAGTCAAGCACTGACTTTTAGGAATTTTAAATATCTACTCTTCTGTCTTTTCTGGTGATAGTTGCTGACAAGGCTGCCTACCTGATGGGTCTGAACTCAGCAGACCTGCTCAAGGCCCTCTGCTACCCCCGCGTCAAGGTGGGGAATGAATACGTGACCAAGGGCCAAACTGTGCAGCAGGTAGAAAAAATATGGTCATGTGGAGCATGCTGTGATGGTTTCCATTGATTCTCCTCTGCCATGTATAGTAATCTCCAAAGCTTTCTCTATGCTTTAGGTGAACAATTCAGTGGGTGCCCTGGCAAAGGCTGTCTATGAGAAGATGTTCCTGTGGATGGTTGTTCGCATCAACCAGCAGCTGGACACAAAGCAGCCCAGGCAGTACTTCATTGGTGTCCTGGACATTGCTGGCTTTGAGATCTTTGATGTAAGTAGCACAGTTTTCCTAACATTTTTATAGAACTATAATTAAGAAATTTGAAATATATTTCATAGAAGTGACTGTCTCCTTAAACTTCATCATACGGCTTTTGGAATCATGTTTTTAATCCTGAAAAAACAATAGAATAGAAAGATAATTTTCTAATTATTCTAAATTAGAAACCTCTCTTGTCTAAATACAAAGCCTATCCTAGAGAGATAGCAAAGGAAAACAATACAGGGGACTTGTACTTAAAGTATAAAACATGGTGAATTAGGATTGTACAAGAAAACACCCTTGTATAGTGCTGATCCTTGAAAGCATTGTATGTCTTTTTATGTCTTGCAGTACAACAGCTTTGAGCAGCTGTGCATCAACTTCACCAATGAGAAACTGCAACAGTTCTTCAACCACCACATGTTCGTGCTGGAGCAGGAGGAGTACAAGAAGGAGGGAATTGAATGGACATTCATTGATTTTGGGATGGACCTGGCTGCCTGCATTGAGCTCATTGAGAAGGTATCCTTCCTGTTCAAGTTGAATATAAATTGGGTGTTTGATGCTTGGCAAGAGAAACAGCTAAGAAGTATATGAGAATATTTTGGCCTCTTCAAATATATGCTTTATGAAAGTGGAAACAGGGTATTAGAGTTTTTGGAGATCATTACTCAGATACCAGGACTTTTGGTGAGAGAATTCATTGCCAAATTACAAAATGAAGTGAAAAAGGTGGTCATGTTATCTAAGTACTTATCAGTAAACAGGTTTTATGGAGAGAACAGTATTTTACATTGTCATATCTATCATAATTTCATCAGCAAAGGCATTTTCATAATTTTGAATGAAACAACAGCACTGAAAAAAGTTGAGCCTTAGTTGATTTTCTCTGTCTTAAAGTCCCTATGTGAACAGCTTCCTTTTCTGACTTCAGCAACTTTCCAACCAAGAGATGTCTCCTTTCTAACCTGTTTCTCCCTCTTGTCTGTTATAATCTCTCCCAGCCCATGGGCATTTTCTCCATCCTGGAAGAGGAGTGCATGTTCCCCAAGGCAACTGACACCTCTTTCAAGAACAAGCTCTATGACCAGCACCTGGGCAAGTCCAACAACTTCCAGAAGCCCAAACCTGCCAAAGGCAAGGTTGAGGCTCACTTTTCCCTGGTGCACTATGCTGGCACAGTGGACTACAACATCTCTGGCTGGCTGGAGAAGAACAAGGACCCTCTGAATGAAACTGTCATTGGGCTGTACCAGAAATCATCTGTGAAGACCTTGGCTTTACTCTTTGCCAACTATGGTGGAGCAGATGCAGGTCAGTTTTAAGAAAAGTGTGGGATGATTGTAACAGAATTAAAGCCATAAACACAAAACATTTAAAGTTGTTTTGTGTTAATTTAATTTTTTTTTTCTTTATTCCATTCACAGAGACTGGTGGTGGCAAGAAGGGAGGAAAGAAGAAGGGTTCTTCCTTCCAGACTGTCTCAGCTCTTTTCCGGGTATAGTACTGTCTCTGTTATCTCTGAAATTTGAAGAAAGGGGATGAGCTAATATTCAATTTGAAAGAGCTATTGTATCTTACTGTAAAGGGGGTAAATTTCTTTGGAAATTCCACATCAGGTTTTCCAGCATCAATTTTAACATGGCAAATATGTCCAAAAATAAGCATTTAGTCTTCAAAAATCATGGAAATTTAATTTGTGGTGGTTTTCTTTATTTTCTTTTTTTTTTTTAATTAGCAGATATCATTCAGATCTTCATATTTTTTATGTCTTTAGGTCAGACATATATTAGAATGGTAATATTAGTATTCCTTCATTTCTATGGGGAGCTTGAAAATAATTTCTAGGGTGATATATATCTCATTGCAATATATCCGTATTTTTTAAAAATTAAGGTAGGTTGACTTCTGAAGGCAGAATGTGAAAAAACTAGGTAATTTATTTTTTGAGAATGTGTGAAATTTTATATAAGTTTTAACTGAACCAATAGCAGCACTGTAGTATTTCAGTCTGTTGCTCAGTATCTTCAAATAGAAAAAATGTTTTGATTTCTGTGGCTTTATATAAATGCTGCAAAACCCAGCTTGAGAAGTTGAAAAATCATTACCTGGCCTTGGTGCATCAAACACTCGATACAAGGAAACTCACACTCGTAACTGGTTCCTCTAGGAGAATCTCAACAAGCTGATGACCAATCTGCGGAGCACTCACCCCCATTTTGTGCGCTGTATCATCCCCAATGAGACTAAAACACCTGGTAAGAGCCCCAAGCAGAAAGATCCTTGCTCTGATACATCCATTCCCCTCTGCACTGCACTCTGGGCCACTCATTTGTGCTCTGCATTGCCAGGTGCCATGGAGCACGAGCTGGTGCTGCACCAGCTGCGCTGTAACGGCGTGCTGGAAGGGATCAGGATTTGCAGGAAAGGGTTCCCCAGCAGAGTCCTCTATGCTGACTTCAAACAGAGGTGAGAGCTCTGCGCTTGTCAGCATCATTGGAAGCAATGTTGGTTCATTCATGGCTCCATTTAGACTGCTCTGTTTTCAAAAACAGTTGATGGGGCTTAGTGGCTACTGTGTGTTGGTTGGAAAAAATTAGCCTCATCTTCTTCTGATTCCACAGATACAAGGTGCTTAATGCCAGTGCCATCCCTGAGGGACAGTTCATCGATAGCAAGAAGGCTTCTGAGAAGCTCCTTGGGTCAATCGATGTGGACCACACCCAGTACAAATTTGGACACACCAAGGTACAAACCCCCCATTCACTGCCTGCCTGGGCTTTGCTCTCTCTACTTGATAGTGATGTGCTGCAACATTGCCTCTCTCAAGGTGTTCTTCAAAGCTGGGCTGCTGGGACTCCTGGAGGAGATGAGGGATGAGAAGTTGGCACAGCTCATCACCCGCACCCAGGCCAGGTGCAGAGGCTTCTTGATGAGGGTGGAGTACCAGAGAATGGTGGAGCGGAGGTACACCTTCCTCTTCTTCTGTTACAGACTCATTTTTCTCATGGGAAAGTGAAGACACTCAACAGACTGAGAATATTCATTGTACTTTTTAATTACGCCTCAGGGAATCCATCTTCTGCATCCAGTACAACATTCGTGCATTCATGAATGTCAAACACTGGCCATGGATGAAGCTGTTCTTCAAGATCAAGCCCTTGCTGAAGAGTGCAGAGTCTGAGAAGGAGATGGCCAATATGAAACAGGAGTTTGAGAAAACCAAGGAGGAGCTTGCAAAGTCTGAAGCAAAGCGGAAAGAGCTTGAGGAGAAAATGGTGAAACTGGTGCAGGAAAAAAATGACCTGCAGCTGCAAGTGCAGGCTGTGAGTTTATCACCTTAATTTATCAATCAGAGAATAAGTATATACATTTGGGCTGTTCTTTATGAACAGAAGATCAGACTATAGAAGCCCAAAAGTCATTAATTTAGGAAATTATCCATCATATGTACATGAAGGTGAGGAAAAAATTTCTGGAAGAGATGTGGTAGGCAGTCTGACAGACAGTGCAAAGATACAGAGAGTTTCAATTGCGAGCCAGTGCTCCCGTCTTCAGTGGATGGAGTCATATGTAGATCCTTGACACTAGGTAGAATAATTAATTATTTTTTGTGGTAAAATGCAAACAACACTAGAAAGCGATATTTGCAAATGCAGGTGCAGGAAAAGCTATCCACTCTTTTCTTGGTAATTAGCAGTTAAGAACTTTCTGTTGCTGGAGTTGGAGGTCAGGTTCAGATGCTACTCAGTCATAAAACAGTCAGAACAGAGAAAGTTAAACACATTAGAATCTACTAATTTCTGTCTACCCACCAGGAAGCAGATAGCTTGGCTGATGCTGAGGAAAGGTGTGACCAGCTCATCAAAAACAAAATCCATCTGGAAGCCAAAATTAAGGAGTTGACGGAAAGGGCTGAGGATGAAGAAGAAATTAATGCTGAGCTGACAGCCAAGAAGAGGAAGCTGGAGGATGAGTGTTCAGAGCTGAAGAAAGATATTGATGACCTTGAGCTAACACTGGCCAAGGTGGAGAAGGAAAAACACGCCACCGAAAACAAGGTATGAGGTAGAACCTGTCACTCACACTCTGGAAAGACTTGTCTTGTTAGAAAGTTTTAAGCACCATTGTCTGTCTGGGCTTGCTTCTTTCTTCTCAAAGGTGAAAAACCTGACTGAGGAGATGGCAGCCTTGGACGAGACCATTGCCAAGCTGACAAAAGAGAAGAAAGCCCTCCAAGAGGCCCATCAGCAGACCCTGGATGACCTGCAGGCAGAGGAAGACAAAGTCAATACTCTGAGCAAGGCCAAGACCAAGCTGGAACAGCAAGTGGATGATGTAAGCACACACAGAGCAGGAACAGGACAGGTATGGAGCCTGACCTGGCTGGCAGAGCCCTGATGGTCTTGTTGTGTTTAGCTGGAAGGGTCCCTGGAGCAAGAGAAGAAACTGCGCATGGACCTGGAGAGAGCTAAGAGGAAGCTGGAAGGAGACCTGAAGCTGGCCCAGGACAGCATCATGGATTTGGAGAATGATAAGCAGCAGCTGGATGAGAAACTGAAGAAGTAAGTGTGGCTCTGGGGCACCTGAGTGCTGGGCTGGAGCACTTGTCTCTTTGCTTTGAGCTCTAACATGGTTCACTTGGCCCAAAGGAAAGACTTTGAAATCAGCCAGATCCAGAGCAACATTGAGGATGAACAAGCCCTGGGTGTGCAACTTCAGAAGAAGATCAAGGAGCTGCAGGCAAGTCTCTGTTCCTTCCCCTGCCTTGCTCAGGCTCAGCTCAGGCAGGAGGAGGGCACGGGTGTGAAGGGTCCCTGGTGTTCTGCAGGCCCGTATTGAGGAGCTGGAGGAGGAAATTGAGGCAGAGCGAACCTCTCGTGC